GTTGTTGAAAAGTTTTGTCCTTCATCCAAAGGACTTCATCAGTATGAGGAGCCACAACAAACTGAGTCCCACAAGCAGCACACTCACATAGTGGACCAACCAGTTTGATGGTGATAAGGCCTGAGGCTCAATGAGACTAACCTGTATAAGGTTGAATGAAAAAAAGTTGGTTTCTGGGGCCGCCCTCTCCCCCATCGACTCCTCTGAGGCAGCCATAGCCAAAGTGGTTCAAAACATCAAAGTTCATGCTCAATAACCCAGGTGAAAAAATCCAACAAATTTAAGCCAGGTCATCTGGACGGTTTCTTATTTTTTCTGTTTAGACGTGTCGTCCTTCATCCAAAGGACTTCATCAGTATGAGGAGCCACAACAAACTGAGTCCCACAAGCAGCAATCCCACTATGTGGGTTTGCTGCTTGTGGGACTCAGTCTATTGGATTTTCTACCTGGATTATTGAGCATGAGCTTTGATGTTTTGAACCACTTTGGCTGCCTCAGAGGAGTCGACCGGGGAGAGGGCGGGCCCCAGAAACCATCTTAATACCAGCAAACAGAACGTCTCAACAACAATCTTTTATGTTTTCCAAAGATTTTAAACGGAAAACGTTACCATATTGTAAAAACTTCCTCACCAAGATGTGCTACTTTAAGCTATGATGCATTCAATGACGGGAAGAAAAAAACAGATTCTTCTGCGTTGAACTGGTCAGTCAAGATCAAAGCCCCTGCCTCCGGTCTCCAAACAGTCGGCCGGTGGACTCGGAGCGTCACCTTCTGTACATACAAAGACTCATTACCGTATTTCTCGGACTATAAGGCGCACCGGATTATAAGGTTCATTAAGCGAAACAAGTTCATTTTGACATTGAGCGCCGTGTAGCACATAAAATCAGTTTGAGGTCAGTGAGCACAACCAGAATAAATACATAAGGTGCACTGGATTATAAGGCTCTCTGTTGATTTTTGAGAAAATTAAAGGATTTTAAGTGCGCCTTATAGTCAGAAAAATACGGTAAGTGTTGTTGTTTTTTTTTTAAAGATAAATAAATCCTCTCTGCATCGCCTCACTCAAACACTCGGTCACACTTTGTGATTTTCTTCTTTAAGTTTTGCCACTCCAGACATTAATATTTCTACTTCTGCTTCTTTCGTAACGTTTCTTGTCTCTTTTTTTCCTAATTTATTTGTGCCTAGTAGCAGTAAACAGCAGTAAGGCTGTGAACTTTCAGTGCTTTTCAGTTTTTTTTATTTAGCTTCAAAACTACTCCAAAAGGGATTTTCTTATATGTATTCTGGAAGCTCTAGATGCTGAATGTTAATGTGCTTTTTCACTCATTTATGAAGTTTGAACCCTAAAAACATCCTGGTTTCTTTTTCAATGTTAAACATAAAGAAAAACCGTCGAAGCTGAAACCAGCTGCCTGTCCTCTTTGTCTTTTTAGGTTTCAGTTTTGCTTTCTATGTCTTGTTCCTTGTTTCTCTTCTCCCTGCTTCAGTTTCTCTACATTTGTCTTTTATTTCTCTAGTATTTTAGTGAAAACGCATTCGGTCACTTCCTCCAAGTTTTGTTTCTAACCTTTAATTTGAAGGAAGCTATAATTTTTTTATTTGTGATAATCTAAGGAACTGTACAGGCTTTTGGACATCTTCAGTATCTCTCAATTTAGAAAATAATCAAATCATTAATAAAAACACATTAATAATCCGATCTTACTTTTCTTTATACTTTTCTGTTAATCTGTATTTCTCTTTTTTTTCACAATGATGTTCTGCTTTTCTTTTTTTTATATTATGATATAGCGTTCTCTGGAAAGGGTTTAAACATTAATATCTTACCTGTTAAAGATGGAAATCTTCAGGCTTTCATGATATGGTTAAAATTCAAAGAGCTGCGATGCAACTTTAAAACTAAGACCATGCTCGATAATCCAGGTATACAACCCAACAATTTTCAGTCGGGTAATCTGGACGGTTTCTTTTTTTTTTCTGCTGAAACATTTTCACCTTCCATCCAGAAGGCTTCGTCAGTCAAGGAAACAAACACAACACTGATTCTTCCCCCAACAGCTTACTCCAAAGTGTGTTTCCTCAGATTAGGCTCAGATTAGCCGTTAGCTCATCAATCCTTATTTCTCCAAAGTGAGGTCATTCCGAGCTGTCTACAACAGGTAAGATATTGACTGTTAATACCGTTTTCCAAAAGAGCCAAATTATTTCTTTAAGGTGACACCATTTCCTGATGTCCCAACGACTCATCTGCAGCAGACTGAGTAAATCAGAGTATCAGCTTTTTTTCACAACCAGCTGATTTTTTTATTTTACTTTGTATTTTATTTATTTATTTTTAGTTTTATATCCATGATGGAAACATAAACTTGGACACATTAACTCCTAAAGAGCAAAAGCCTAAGAACTCAGTTGCAGACATAAAACTGATGAACAAATCTAAAAAAGTTAAATCTGGTCCTCTGGACATTCAAAAAAACAAAACAAAGCAAAACAACAAAAAAATGTAGAAGCGTTTCGTCTCTCATCCGAGAGACTTCCTCAGTCTGAGGAGCTGTATTCAGCTCAGTCTCTTAAATAGCACCTTCTCAGAGTGGATCAACCAGTTTTGCTGCTGACAACCAAAACCAGCTGATCACATGCTCAAGAAGGACCATCAGCCTAACAATGGATCATTAGCACCTGATGGCTGTTTACTATTCACAGAGGGCTGAGTGATACTAGCAATCACAGCATTGTAAGAGGGGGACAATTGAACCCGGAGGCCTCCACCCCTGTTTAATGATGGACGATTTCTTTTCACAAAGATGGCCTCCTTTACTCCTCTCTCAAACCATCGTTCCTCTCTGTCCAGGATGTGAACATCTTCATCCCTGAAAGAGTGACCGCTGGCCTGGAGATGAGTGTAGACCGCAGAATCCTGGCCTGATGATGTTGATCTTCCGTGCTGGGCCATCCTTTTGGCCAGTGGCTGTTTTGTTTCCCCGATGTAAGACTGATCACAGCCCTCCTGACACTGAACAGCATACACAACATTACTCTGTTTGTGCCTGGGGACTGGATCTTTGGGATGAACCAGTCTTTGCCGTAATGTATTTTGGGGTTTAAAAGCCACTGGGACGTTATGTTTAGAAAATAAACGTCTCAGTTTCTCTGATACACCCTCAACATACGGAATGACCACTGGTCTGGGTCTGGGTTCCTCCTTTTCACCTGTTGGCTGACTGGAGTCCTGTTTGGGTTTCTTCTCTGCTTTCAGGAAGGCCCAGTTAGGATATCCACATTGCTCTAGAGCCTGTCTTGTGTGGGATTTCTCCTTCTGCCTGGCTCCTGAGCTAGTGGGGACACTGTCTGTTCTGTGATACAGAGTCCTGATGACTCCTAACTTGTGCTCCAAAGGGTGATGGGAGTCAAACTGCAAATACTGGTCTGTGTGGGTGGGTTTGCGGTACACCTCAGTTTGCAAATGTCCTCTATCAGAGACTGAGACCTCACAGTCCAAGAAAGCCAACTTGCCATTTTTTACATCTTCTCGTGTGAACTTGATGTATTTATCCACAGAGTTGATGTGGTCAGTAAAATGTTGGACTTCCTGAGATTTAATTTTAACCCAGGTGTCGTCAACATACCTGAACCAATGACTTGGTGGTGTCCCTGAAAAGGACGTCAAGGCTCTCTTTTCTACCTCCTCCATGTACAGGTTGGCAACAATAGGAGAAACTGGAGACCCCATAGCACACCCATGTTTCTGCCTATAATATTGCTCCCCATATGTGAAGTAGGTTGACTGCAGGCACACTTTCAAGAGTTGACACAGTTGTTCTGTGGAAAGTGTGGTCCTGCTGCTCAGAGTGGTGTCTGATTTTAATCTTAAACTGACCACCTCTACTGCATCATCAACAGGACTGCACATAAAGAGTGATGTGACATCAAAAGAGACCATTGTTTCATCAGTCTCCATGATGACATCCCTCACCTTATCCACAAAGTCCATGGTGTTCTGTATGTGGTGTTCTAAGCTGCCAACTAAAGGGATGAGTACAGATGCCAGATATTTGGAAACATTGTAAGTGACAGAGTTAATCATGCTAACGATTGGTCTTAAAGGTACACCTTGTTTGTGGATTTTAGGTAAACCATACAGACTAGGTGTGGCCTCCCCTGGGTACAGTCTGTGGTACAGAATACGGTCAATAGCCTTGTCCTGCTCCAAAATTTTCAGGCAATATATCAATTTCTTCTTGTAACCACTTCCTGGATCTCTTTTCAGAGGTTCATAAGTGTTTAAGTCACTAAGGAGTGTCATAACTTTCTCATGATAGTCTTTCTGGTTCAAAATCACTGTGCACCTTCCTTTGTCTGTTGGGAGAATGATGATGTTTTTGTCCTTGCTAAGAGTGGTGAGTGCATCCCTCTCCTCTCTACTGATGTTGGAAGGTGGTGGTTTGGCATTGCTGAGGCAGGATGAAACTTTGATTCTGAGCTGTTCTGCTTCACCCTCTTTCATTTTGTTGTTGCGGATGGCTGACTCGGTAGCTGATGAACAAATATTTAATTCATTTTGGTCCCAATCCTCACTGAAGGTGACCTTTTTTGTTTTTTATCTTTATGGTCCAGAAAAGCCGAAGTGATTGTTAGATTGGTCTCTTTAGCTTTTAGCTGCTTTGGTAAATGCAGATTGGATCGTCTTTCTTTTTGTCCTTTGTCTTTTATCCTTTTCCTTTCTTCCTTTTTGTTAAGTTTCTTTTTTGTTTGTGGCGTTCTTTTAAAATTAATATCACAAATAAAAAGGAAAGTAGTTTAGACTGAAAAGACGTTGGTTGAGACCAGTTTGTCGTACCTTTGTTTAAAAAAAATCATTAAAATAACAAAGTCCTTCGGTTTATGAGAAATAATTTAAAACTATAAAATGTGCATAAAGCACCAGTGATTAAAAATGATCTAAACTCTTGACTCCTGTCCTTTCAGACATGGTGAAGCGTTGATCGGATCAGCCGTGCATCCGCACAGGAAGAGGACCGCGTCACATGGGAGTGTGTGCATGTGCATATGAGGGTGTGTGTTCGGGCCTCCCACCGTCGCCCGCTCATCCCGTTCTGACATGGCGGGGGTCAGAGAGCGCAGCTCACAGAGACAGCGGCCATGGTCGGTGTACCGGGCCAACACGTTCGAGCTGTCCAGTGAGATGATCGGATTGGCTCTCGCAGGTGACAAATTCATCTTCGCAGATTCACCATTTAAAGATGGACAGTTCTTTCTGTAAAGCTCCAAACTTTTTTTTTTTTTCTTGATCTGTTTGGTTCACAGGGAATGTTCAGGACCCAGATGAGCCCGTGCTGGAGTTCAGTGTTGGTGTGTTCAACAAATATTTATTTGAAGTGTTGCAGTCAATTAGATTAATCTCTTGTTTATTTAAACATCTTTATGTGATGGAGCATATTTATTTATTATTGTTATTTTTACTAGGCCTGTCACGATAACAAATTTTGCTGGGCGATTGTCTCAGAAATTATTGTGATAAACGATATTATATTATCTATATATAATATAGATAATATAATATCTATATTATTATCTATTATCTATATATAATATAGATAATATAATACATTTATTATAATATTGTTTGAAATTTGACAATAATTAGTAATTATTGTCAAATTTAAGAAGAAATGTTGGTTAATTTTTTTGTGTAGTACCTTTTTTGACCACTGGATGGCAGTATAAGACCGTCTGAACCAAAAGATGGATAGTGAAGGAAAGAGCAGCGTGTCTCTTAAAAAAAAAAAAAAAAAAAAGGGAGGGAGGGAGGGAGGCCCCTTGACGTGACATATGCTGCCTGTGTATCGATCTATCGATCTATCTATAGATATAGATATAGATACAGACAGACAGATATAGATATAGATAGAGAGAGAGATATAGAGATAGATATAGAGATAGATAGACAGATAGATAGATAGATAGATAGATAGATAGATAGATAGATAGATAGATAGATAGATAGATAGATAGATAGATAGATATGTGTGTATATATGTGTATGCTGCCTGCATCTCCTTTTTTCAGTTCTCAAAATGGCGGATGCTCGGTGTGGTTTGAGCTCTTTAGCATAGCATTTTTCACTCAAAGCTTTTAATAAAAAATCAGTAAACAAGTTCTGCTTCTTTTTGCAGAGAAAAACAACTTTTTACACGAAGGCACGGGTTTCAACCGTGAATTTTGGAGCTTGGACAAGACAGAGATTTTTTTCCCTGAGGTCGGCCTGTTAGCTTAGCTTGTAGCTTAGCTTCTCAGCTTAGCTGCTTTTAACTGTCAAAAAACGCAATTTTGGACGGTTAAAACAGATTTTAAAGAAAAGAGAAAGGGAGGGGCCAGTGAAGAGCATCAGAGTTTAACCTTTTCTTATCCAGTGTCTTCAGTAGAAAGAGAGATGTGAAGAAACGATAAACCGGTAATTGAAAATTAGGTTGATAATTTTCATTTACCTTGCGATTAATTGATTTACTGTTTATCGCGACAGGCCTAAATTTGACAAGAAATCAAAATGCATATCAGAAAAAGTTACAAGAAAATATTTTATGGTATATAGATTATTATGTCTGTCCTGACGCAGTGTGCACAGACCTGGTGACACCTGCTTTGGATCGAAAACCCAACAGCTTTGTGGCAGTGAGCTGCACGACGCCACCACAGGCCTTCTGGACCAAACACACACAGACTGAAGTCATAGAGGTCAGACTCTTCATCTGATTGATCTAAGCCCTGTTAGGAGAAACAGAACCCTTAGAGGAATTTTGTTATAATTACTCTACGCTCAGTACGCAACCAAGTAAAAACTTAATTTTACACATTTGTGAGTCTACCGAAGATGAAAGAAAATGTATTTTCTGTGAAAATGTGGTGTAAACGTTGAGTGTGGAAAATGAAGCTGAGTGTTAAATAAGCAATACATCAGCTACATGCTTAAGTGAGGGAAACACTAGCTACATGCTAAAGTGAAGAAAACACTAGCTACATGCTAAAGTGAAGAAAACACTAGCTACATGCTAAAGTGAAGAAAACACTAGCTACATGCTAAAGTGAGGAAAACACTAGCTACACGCTAAAGTGAGAAAAACACTAGCTGCATGCTAAAAGTAGGAAAAAGCTAGCTACATGTCATAAGTAGGAAAACATTAGCTACATTCTTAAGTGAGGAAAATACTAGCTAAATGCTAAAAGGAGGAAAACACTAGCTACATGCTAAAAGGAGGAAAAACGCTAGCTACATGTCATAAGGAGGGAAACACTAGCTATATGCTAAAAAGAGGAAAACATTAGCTACATGCTAAAAGTAAGAGTACACAATATGCTAAAAGGAAGAAAACATCACTAGCTACATGTTAAAAGGAGGAAAACACTAGCAACATGCTAAATGTGGAAAACACTGTCTACATGCTAAAAGGAGGAAAACACTAGCTACATGCTAATAGGATGAAAACATTAGCTACATGCTAATTGTGAAAAATACTAGCTACATACTAATAGGACGAAAACATTAGCTAAATTCTAAAAAGAACGAAACACTAGCTGCATGCTAAAAAGAACAAAACATTACCTGCGTGCTAAATAGACCAAAACATGAGCTGCATGCTAAAAATAACTAAACACTAGCTGCATGCTAAAAAGTACAAAATACTTGCTGTATGCTAAAAAGAACAAAACACTTGCTGCATGCTAAAAAAAAAAAAAACATTAGCTACATGCTAAAAAGTACAAAAGACTAGCTGTATGCTAAAAAGAACAAAACTCTAGCTGCATGCTAAAAAAAACAAATCATTAGCTACATGCTAAAAAGTACAAATATGATACATTCTAAAATGAACAAAACTCTAGCGACATGCTAAAAGGAGGAAAACATTAGCTACATGCTAATATGAGGAAAACACTAGCTACATGCTAATAGGAGGAAAACACTAGCTACATGCTAAAAGGAGGAAAACAATAGCTACATGCT